TAACCAATGGGATTTAACCAATGGGATTTGGGTTTTAGTGGGCGTTTAAAAATTTTAAGTTTGGACGGCAACTATAATCATGTCCATTTTGTTAAAAATTTCCCTTTTATGGTAATTTTAAGCAAGAAAAAATGATTTACTCTTTTTATCGCAAGTAAGCCCCAGCTCAGGAACTCAAGAATCTTCAAGACAACTAGTGCAGTAGGATGGGACTTCTGGTCAAAGTTTATTTAAGTTTGGGAGTCTTGCTTATTCTTCGGTTGCATAAGGAAAGACCCATAGCAGTTCTCTTTTCTTTAGTTCTCTTGCACCCCTCCTTACCCTTATCTTATTATAAAAACTATACATATCATTACCATTATACTCATTAAACCAAACACTTTTCAAAATTCATACTCAAATAGAGTTAGTGGGTCTACTATTTGTTTCAAGTCAACTCTCATATATAATATTTTCGTAGCAATATCTGCTATACCACTTTCAATTTTCAAAAAATTCTCACCCAAAAAACTGAAATCAGTTTACCTCCTTTAGATGATCAGTGCTTTTCAATTATCCAATCAGATTTTGCTTAAAGATTAAAACAAAACTTAAACAAGCTCAAATCAGTTTTGTATCACAACAATGATCACAACAACAATAACAACTAATATACTATCAATAACTATAATAACAAACAATGTTACGTATACTTTATTATCTATGATAACTGAAGAGCCGGAGAGATGGGACCATGAGCCTGTCTGGGGCTTTCAAGGGGAAATAATTGATTTTTTACTTATAGATTTTATGGTATATTTGATTTAGTTTTAGTTACGGTTATTTTTATTTTTATTTTTAATTTTTTATACTTAAAAAATCAAAAGAATTTGCAAAATTTTCTGGGATAGTAGGTATAGTCACTACTCAGCCTTATCTAGCATATTAATATTGATTTTGAATTTTTTTACGATATTAGTTAAATATTGATAAGTAGGTAAACTAGCATTTAACTTTTCTGAAATAATAAGAGAGATATTGTTTTTTTTAATGATGTATACCTTGTTATATATAAATTAAAATAAAAAAATGATGTTTACCTACTGGGAAAACCTCTCTCAAAAATTAAAATATTAATACATGAGATACATAAAATAAGTGTAGGGAAAATGTAAAGATTATAAAATATCCAATTCAAATCTGTATACACAATCTAATAGATGATCGACATTTTACATATGTATAAAAATTCTATTATAAAATTAAACAAAAAAAGAAAAAATGTATATCAATTGGTAACTTTTAAATACTTAGCCAAATTTAACGAAACATATACCATTCGAAAGCTCTCATTGCAGGGAATCGAATGGTGACAAAATCGCATAATTCTAATCACTGGTTGTTAAGTTATATTTGTTTTTAATAATTTTTTAAAAAAATTATAACACAACAACCAGTGATTAGAATTATGTGATTTTACCACTATTCGATTCCTTGTGATGAGAGCTTTCGAATGGTGTATGTTTCGTTAAATTTGGCTAAGTATTTAAAAGTTACCAATTGATATACATTTTTTTTTTTTTTGATTAATTTTATAATAGACTTTTTATACATATGTACAATGTCGATCATCTATCAGATTGTGCATATGAATTTGAATTATATATTTTGTTATTTCTAAAGAAATGTATAGGATAAGTTAAGATGTGATACACATAATGTTACTAATTGTTACAAAAGGTACTTTGGAAAACATATTTTTGATTAGTGATATATGATTATCTAATATGGAGAAAAAAAAAGTAATTATAAAAAAAAACTTTCACCTTAAGCATTGCTCATCTTATATATAGTTATACAAAATCTTGTCCTTTTTAGTGACTGATAATATGATTGGATAAATTAATCAATTATATATTTTTTTAATTCAATTAGATTAATTAATCATAATAATAAAATATTATTATTATTATTTTAATCTGTATATAATCATGTCACATAATCAATTAAATTCTCATAAGTATCATGTTTATACATGTAGTGCTTATACATATTATATTTATATACATCAAAATAAAATTGAAATAAGTTAATAAAATATTAAATAATTTAATTTAATTTAATTTTATTAAATTTTTTTATATAGCATCATATTAAAATAAAACAAAAATTGTTTAAAGTAAACATTTATTAAAGTAAAAGTTTTAGAAAAAGGCATAGAATTATATAAAACCAATTGAATTCAAATATTAGAAAAATATAGAAAAAAAAATAGTCTCTTAAATATATATAATCCAGAACAACTTAAAGATAAAGCCTGTAATAAAAAAATTAGAAGATTAAAAAATAATATTTTATTAGATAAATATTATATTTAAATTTTGAAATTATTAAAAATTAATTTTTAAAATAGTTACTGGTAAAATCAATATATATAAAATTTTTATTTTATTAAATTTAATAAAAATTATAGTGGCCTATTATATTATTACAAATATTTTTTTTCCTTTAATTGTATAAAATTAAGTAAGTAAATATGATACAATTTTTTTATTACATGTTTAATAAATATTAAGGTATATTATACTAAAATTTTATATTATTTCATTTATTTGTTTAAAAGTTATATAAAAAAATTTATAAAGTTAATTTTTTTCATTAAACTAATTTTTTTTTTAAAATTTTTTTTAAAAAATTTTTTTATAAAAAACTAATCTAATTATATTCTAGTATTTCATAAGTTCTTCAACTTTGATAGTATATTATATTATACTTGCTTGATAAAAATATCAAGTTAATTAAAATTATTGGTTTTATCTTGTAAAATATCAATTTTTTTACCTTGATCTAAAGGTTTTTAATCAAATTGAGATTGAAACTTTGCAAAGGCCAATCTATCATATAAATTCTATTCTTATTAATGAATTTCAAAACTATTTTGGTGATATATGGTTTTGCATTGTTTTGTTGAAAAAATAAATAACAATTCTTATAATTTTTAAAATTTTTTAGTATTAATAAAACATACCTTTGTAAAATATTAACATATAAAGTACTAGTAGTGATAGAATTTAAAAAAGTAGAAAATCTGGATTAGATTAAGACAATAGTTATTATTGGTAATTAGACTTTTAAGATTAGTATAATTAAGGAAGGTTAAGATTTTAGAATAATCAAGATGATTATTGGAAAGAAATTTTAAAGTATTTAACTTATAAAATTTTTTTATAATACTTTATATAAAAGATTTTTTGCAATTAATAACTGCTACAATGGTATGAATTAAATCTTTTCTGAGATAGCTATAGATTATAGAACCTTTTGTCCTTTGGTAAAATCTTTTTTGCTATTTATTTTTTGAGACAATTTATTATAAGTTATCGATTATTCAAAAAAAAAATCTAATTAATATGAACATATATCTTTTTTAATATTGTATATATTGTTTAAATAATGTAAAATGTTTTGAAAAAATTTGATATACTGTATAAATTCAAAACAAATAATAATAATAATAAATAATAAATAAAAAAAAACTAATTTTATTCAAAAAAAGTAGTTTGATTTGTTTATTATATAACTTTTGTAAAACAAAATAAAATTGCATAAAATTTTAATATGTTTTATTTTTAGATTTATTAAATAAATTGTAAAAATTTTAAATTATATTTATTTGTTATATTTAAAATAATTAAGAAAAAAAAGTGTTTGTAATAATATTATAGGTTACTATATAATATTTTAATTACATATATATTACATTATTAATTTAATTATGTATTTTTAATTTTATAATTTTATAATAATTTGATTTTTATAATTGTATATATATATTTTAATTGATATAATACATTATTGAAATAATTGGAATTAATCTCTATAATAATACTTTATATAATTTTTCCTTAGTAAGCAGTTGAAAAATATAATTGAATCAATAGAAAGAATAAATTTAAATTAGTAGTAAAACTTTCTTTTTCTGTATAAGTTTCACCTGAATATGGATTTATCTATGAAATATAAGTCAATTAATTAGAATAGTTGGATTGGCTTAAAGAAAACCAATATTATTGGAAATAGTAATTACTAGATAGCATTAATTTACATTCAAAATAGCAATAGTCTAGCTCGTAAAGATATTTGACATAATAGTAAAATATTTATTATTAATAAAAACCTTGTATTTAATACTCTTGATTAATTAAAACAAAAAAAAATTAAACAATTCAAAATAGTAAATAAAAAACTTTTGTTCTATCAATATGGTATTTAAAAAGAATGTATAAGCTATATTAAGTAGAAAAAAGAAAGTAGCTATTGAATATTGTTTTAAAGTAGTGATCAGAAGGATTGATGAAGAGTTTTTTAATTTATTAAATAATATTTTTTAATATACAGTATATTTGGGTTTTTTTAAGGTTAAAGCAGCCTCCCGCAGGTTTTTATTAACATTTTTAAATCAAAATGGAAACAGACACTAACCAGGATGGATATTCCTTTGTTTGAACTTTTGGAACCACTAACAATGTTAGTAGAGCAAGTGCTAGGTCTAAAACCACTGCGTGAGTAAATGTGTAACTGATATTTCTCTAATCTTTCATTTAACTTTCCAGAGCTATTCTTTAGTGACAGCGTTGATGTTGTTCAAAAGAGAATGTCTGAATATCACTATTATAGAACTTTATGGTGGGAAAAAGGCGATTTCCATTAAAAAGCAAATTGGGAAGAAGCAACGTAAGTCCCTTCCCTATTTGTTTGACGTTGACTCATTATTTTATGATCTAGTGAAACATAAGACAAGTTTGCTATTCGTATCAGGCTTCCTTACAAACTTGCTGTTGGTGTTACCTTGGAAGAATATGAAAAGCGGTCGGACGAGTTTAACATCCATAGATGTTGGGAATGGGTTAACGGCGATGTTATAGTTTATGAATTGCCCTCAGAACTGCATGAAATTTGCATCGGTGCGATTTCCGAAGAAATAATGGATGCTTGTAGAAATGTTAAGTGGACCCCTGCTCATATTTTTAGCATTGGATCAACTCGTAAGTATTATTCATTAATTCTCTTTACGTTATGCCTATTAAATATTAATTTTAATTGCTAAAGGGACCTATGCTGATGGTTCCGCAAAGGAGGCTGACAATTCATTTCGTCCGGAAAAACCAGAAGTAAAATTTCCGAACGGAATCGATAAAGGGGTACCTTGTATTTTTTCCATTGAACACTTCAAAATTAGAGATTCATATGAAATTCTTTCGTTTTTTAGACTCGCCCATGGCCAAATCTGGTTATCGAAGTTGCATATTCCGAGACAATAGATCATGTTACAGACAGGGCAAGAAACTACTGGTTAAAGCCTGATCGTGTCCATGATGTCATTGTTGTAAAAATTGAACCGGTTCTTGAGGGTCAAATACCTACTCGTATGATAGTAAGTCGTATTTTTACAGTTTAGCAATCTTATATATAATTTTTAACAGTCTAAAAATTTAAATTTATTGCAGGCATGGCATTATTGTATTTCAGATAAAAGAACGAGATTTAACTTTCCTGCCAGAACTACGGTAATGTTCGATTAATCCTTTTGGCTTTGGCCAATATTAAAAATTAGAATTGATAATTAGTTTGAATTCGGCACGATTGACGAGAATGGAACTCCTTTGGCTTTTCCGCAAGGTGCATGTGTCATAAACATTGCATTAAGCTGTTTATACCACGATGTACATTCTTCTATCACCATTCCTTCGAGTCTTCCCCATCCTATCCCAATCGATTTCCTTTTTATTCAAAATGCAATCATCACAGCGCTTACGCCCCAGAAAAGATAAAAGATCAAGCATTAATTTCAGGAAAGCGAAAGTGATTATTTTTTATCTACTTCTCTTCGTTCTTGTCTTGTAAGCTAAGTACATAGTCACGTTAATATTATCCTTAAATATTACTGACATAGTTTGTAGTTTAATAAGTTTATGTCAATGAAACTAATATTAATGCGTATGCTTACTGCTTTAGAGTCACATTTACAATATATGCCTTACAAGTAAGTCTATATCTTTGCAAAATGTCTCTTCTATCTTTTAACTTTATTTCTTGTTGATATATACTTTTATTTTGGAGAACAGTAAATAGTGAATTAATTGATCACATCAGATTCCAACTTTGAAATAGCTCAATTTAAATAACGCTCTGACATTATTTTATTTCTCACCAACCCCTGATCCTACGTTTTCTTATTAATTCATTCATTCTTAAGCATTATCTTATTTTTTTATATAGTGGCATTTACGTGGGTATTTTAAAAAACAAAAACTCGGGCTGCTATGTCACTGATAAATATTCATTTTTCAATGATGCATGTGTTATTTAAAGTCAAATTGTAGCATTTGTATATAAGATAAAATATTGATTATGATTGATTCCGTATGAGACCATACTGGTTCTGACCAAGTTACTTCTTGAAGTTAGATACCGCTTGTGCTTTCTCTTTAATATTAACTGTGCCAAAAATTGAAAATACTGCAAAACAACGTGCCGCGATATATGTAATTCTTTTTTCAATTTTGTTTTTTTGCTTTCAACTTGAACGATTTTTTGTATCTAGAATTGGTTTTTCATATTAAATTAATAGTTTTAATAGTCTTAATGCTACCTGTGACTAAAATATTGTTGCTAGTAAAACATCCGGTCGGTTATTCTAAACACGTGTACACGCACCTGCACGGGTGACGTAAGGTGTTGCACAAGTGATGCATAAAGAACACCCTTTGTAAGATATGTAAGATGTGTAAGATGTACGTAACATGCACAGCAGGTGATATTTTCCAATAAGCTAATGCATCAGAGCTTTTACCTCTAATATAAAATGGGTGGGATTTAGTGTTTTTAAAAAATAATCTTTTCTCTCTGTTTCTATGGCTAAGAAATCCCTTTTTGCTTTATCTAAAAGCCTTTTTTTCTTTTTTATTTATTTCTTTTGTGTATGGTCTTTGTAAAAAAAACAAAAAAATCCTATTCCTATATTACATTTCTAGTTTATAAATATGGGTGAGTAATGTGTAGCTTTGTATTTTCAGGTTCATCATGACTCACAGTTTTAATTGCTAATTAGTATACAATCTTGATATCTTGTTTATATAGTACTGATCATAAATAATCTTATATTCTTTAAAATTTCAAATTTAATTCAATTTTTCTAAAAATTTTAGAATAAATAGTTTATTACAATTCCTAATCATCTGATTTTTTTTAAATCTTTATAATTTCCAAAGTAAAATTTAAATAAGAACCAAAATTTGAAAAAAATTTTTTTAAAAATTTTTTTCAATCTGAAAATTTTCAATAAATGATTTATAGATCAATAATTCATATAGATAAAAATTCTTAAAAAATTATATGCTAAAATTCAGATCTTTTTATATTATTAATAAAAAATTTAATATATTTTGATAAGAAAATTGTCAAAAAATTAATCTTCAAATCTTAAGTTTGCTTAATACAAAAAAGAACTTTCTGAAATACAGTTTTTATCAATTTTATTATATATTTTATTAACTTTTAATATTTTTTATAATAAAATATATAGTAAAATTAATAAAAACTATATTTCAAAAAGTCCTTTTTTGTATTGAATAAACTTAAAATTTGAAGGTTAATTTTTTGAAAATTGTTTTATCAAAATATATCAAATTTTTATTAATAATATAAAAAGATCTAGATTTTAACATATAAAAAAAGTCTCAAGAAAAATCTATAAAAAAAAAATTGTTATAAGTTTTTTTTCAAAAAGAAAATAATATTATTAAACTTGATTTTTTCTAATCAATGATTTTAGCTCAATGTATTAATATATTTTTTTGAATTTCTTAAAACTTTTTGATAAAAATTAAAAAGGTATAAAGGACTTGTGAATATTGAAAAATAAAAAAAGATTTTTAAGAAAAATATTATATATAAGAATGTTTTTTTTTTTATAAAATAATTTTATAATACTTAGAACTTTTAATTTTATTATTAAAATCTTTAAAATTTTATTTATTTTAACTTAAGAAAACACAATCTTTTTTACTTTAAACAATTAACAAATATTATCAATATATACTTTATTTTATGAACACAGTTTAAAACAAGAGCTAAAGCAAAATATATAGGTTGCAAATTCAATTAATTTAAAAAAATTATTATATAACAATAAAATAAAAATATCTATTTTTTTGAATTATTCATCAATATATTTGCCATATGTAATTTAGCAAATCAAAAAAATATTCAAAAATACAGATACATTTCTACAATTATTAATCAAAGTATCTATATAAGCAAGGTAAATAAATAAACCAAAGTTTTAAACAATATATTTAAAGTCCAATACTTTACACAAATAGTTGATAGCTTTTCAATTGAAAAATACAAGAGTTATAACTTGAATACAAGAGAAAAGACAAATACATATATCAAAAAAATACAATTAAAAGAGGCAATAACATTACTAATTAAAATAATAAAGAAAAGTTCAAAATTATATAACCAAATTATCAGAAACCTCTTATGAATACAAACTTTATTCAACTTAATTAGACAAACATCAGGAAATTTTTTTGGTGAAGATCTCCATTCAAAAATCTTCAAAGGTTTTTAAGAATTTTTAATATAAAATTTTTTAAAATAAAAAACTCCAGAAATTTTTATTTTAAAAAAATTTAAAAATCTTTGAAGTAATAATAATTATTTTAAAATAAATAATTATTTAATAAATATTCATTACTTTTATCAAATCTTGGAAT